CAGGGTATGGGGGAAAATGGGGGCGGGGGAGCTCAGACTTACCCAATCTCCCCATATCCAGCTCCGCATCCCCCATCAGGGCCCCATGGCCTCGGGGGGGGGCGGTCATCAGGATTCCCTGTAATTGAGGGGGGGCTGCGAGTCGGGAGTGAGGGGCACCAGAGAAGGAAGGGGGCTGCGGGTTGGGAGTGAGGGACACTGGGCTGCAGGTTGGGAGTGAGGGGCACCAGAGAACGAAGGGGGCTGTGGGTCAGGAGTGAGGGGCACCAGAAAACGAAGGGGGCTGTGGGTCAGGAGTGAGGGGCACTAGGGAAGGAAGGGGGTTGTGGGTCAGGAGTGAGGGGCACTGGGACCCCGGGCTGTGAGTGGCTGGCGCCGGCTGGGGTTAATGGTTGACGGGCTGGAATGCGCGGGGACGGGGCCGGACAGGGCCGGACGCGGCAGCTTCCCCCGCACCGGCGCCGTCGAGGGAAGAGGCTGTCAGGACCTGCACGTCGGCCCTGGCCCCTGGCCACAGCAGGTGGGGGCCACGGGAGGCCGCAGGGCTGGCATGCACGCACGCACAGGACCCAGGCGTCCAGGAGGCGTCTAGGACACACACGCATACACACAGGGGGGACCCAGGCATCCGGGACAGGCACATACACACACAGGGGAGGCATGTAGCTGGGATTCACATGCTCACAGACATGTACAGAACCCAGGCATCTGAGACACACACACAGGGGACCCAGGCATCCAGGATCAGGATGCATATGAATGGATACACGTACACACATGTACACACAACTCTGGCATCTGGGCCCCACTGAGAACCCAGGTGCTGGCGCCCCCCCACTCCCAACCCATAGCTCCCTGCCCCCAGCCCTGCCAATGCCCCTCACTCCTGCCCCCCCGGCGCCCCTAGCCCTGCTGGTGCCCCTCACTCTGAACCCATGTGGGGACCGGTAGAGAACCCAGGTGCCTGGGACAGACACACACACAGAGGGAAGCCAGGCATCCAGGATGTGTGCACACACATGTGTACACACAACCCAGGCATCCAGGACACACACAGAACCAAGGTGCGCTGGACACATACACACACGTGAGCAAAATCCAGGTGTCTGGGACACATGGGCAGACTCAGCCCTGCGCAGCGTGGGGGGGTCTTGGAATGGGCTCGCAGGCACCCCGACAGGCAGGGGGCCAGGCCAGAGACAGCCCCGCAGAGGACCCAGGTGTCCTGGCTCCACCACCCCGGGTTCTCCCTGCTTGCGTCGGGCTGGGGCTGGGCGGAGCCCCGACGCCGGGGATGTCTCCCGGCCGCTGGAGGCTACGTGCTCCCGGGCAGACGCTGGCAGATGCCGCCTTCAACCTCTGCCCCCGGGGCAGGACAACAGCTTTCCCGGCACCGCGCGGGGGCAGAGCTGGCAGGGGGCTGCGGGCGGGAGCGCCGGGCACCGCGGGGCGGGGGGCTACAGGCGGCCGGACACGTC